TGCCCACATTTTTATACTGTAATAATAATAATAATAATAATAATAATAATAATAATAATAATATTAGTAATAATAAATTATACTAAATTAGCTCAAATTATGATGCAATTATTTTTCTCAGGAAAGTATCGCCACTGTTATGGTTGTTTATGCCAGAGGCCTTCATGTGGTGTCAGGGATGGATCTGGAGGTGCCATGGAGTGGCCAGACATTTTTTGGGGGGCCACCCCATGGCACCTCCACCTTGGTATCAAATTCTGTTAACTTTAAAACATGAATTTAATTTTAAAAATAACATGTTAAAAAAGGAAATTAACAGACAAAGACATCTTTTTAAAAATGTCAGAAGATTTGGAAATAAAACAATTTATTGATTTCTAATGCCATCTTTACATATTTTTATTCAATGCTTGTGCCGCAATAATGCAATGTTTGCAAAAGTTCAAATATCTTCATTACTCAGCATATACTTCTGCTGCCCCTTAAAGCTGCAGTAGGTAATTTTTATAAAAATAATTTCTTTTCATATTTAATAAAACTTTTCACTATATTCTGGTTCATATATGAGGCAGATATGTGATCAGATCAGATAATCTGTGAAAAAATCAGGTTCCTCTGGCTGCTCCTAGTGCTCCTAATGGTATTTGCAAGAATCTACCATACCTGAAGAAAAATAACCAATGAGAACCAGATAGTTGATTGTTGAGTCTCATTCCCAGGTCGTCAAATACCGACAATGGTAATGAGACTCAACAATCGACCATTTTCAAGCTATCAACCCATTCATCTTTGCTCTGATTGGTTGTGTTTGTTTACGATTCTTGCAAATACCATTAGGAACACCACAAAGAGCCAAAGGAACCAGATTTTCTGTCTCATTAACTACTGTCAGGATATAGTAAATGTTTCAGCCAATATAATAAAAGTTACCTACTGCAGCTTTAAAGTGTCCATGCGACCCTCTGGCCACCCCATAAATATTTCTCTCGATCCGCCCCTGTCGGTGCTACGCCACATCGCCCGGTTTGTACAGCAGCACACAGTCTGGAAGGAAGTGATGACTGGGAGGCGGAGTTCAAGGCGAAACAGCCATCTCAACAAACTGTGGACACTGAGACTCCGCCCTCCGCCTGCAGCCGAATGAAAGCTCATCAATTCCTCATAGCATATCATCCATAGGCTACCTGTGGAGAAACACAAGCGCAGCATATTAATGACTGCAAATCAACAACACCTTCGCTTTCGGATGGATTTCCCTGCAGTGGATATCTGTTGAACGGAGTTTGGAAGTCTGGAGCTACTTTTTTTTTTCCAGCTGAGCGTGAATGCAGCTTTGCGCTACTTTATTCTTGCGCGGTTTTAACAGAATGTGAATGTGTGGTTCTGGAGGACTAACAGACCTCACTATCTAGTTCAGTTTTTAAAAACATGGAGTATTCTGAGGTTTTGATCTGGAATTGGGAGCCTTCGAACTACATGGCCATGTAGCCCAGAGGTAACCACTCTGCATTATATCTGAACGTAGCCTCATGTCTGAGACTTTCTAATACAGTGTGAGCATACTGGAATATGGGATAACTGTGACTGTGCTGGTGCTGCCACTGTTTTCCTAACACACTGTGTTAAAGTGTGTTTTAACAGTATCAACAGTAATAGTCACGACTCAAAACACAATCAACAACCAACCAAAACAGTCTGCATGGTTCCATCCAGCTTTAGACCCGCTGCTCTCTGTCGGGCAACACTTTTCCTAAGCAGACATGTTCATTTGTCTGGATTCAAATTTGACCCGCCGATTTATTCTTCAAAAACGTATTCCAGCTAAAAAAAAAATACATATTCATTTGTAGTTGTCGCGTCAGCCTGGGACTTCCTTCCCTCTTGCTTCATTTAAAATGCCAACCACTAAATTAGACTACCTCTGTAAATAGTAACATTTCCAGGAGGAACGGCTCTGTATCAGGTCTACGCAATAAACCACAATCGCAATATGGCCAAGTGCAATATGCAAATCACAGAAGCTACAATGTCTTGATAAAGGTACAATGTGTGACAAACAGCTTTATAATGGATTACATTAGTCATCATCATGATTTTAATAGTTTTTTTAGAAAAAAAAATTAATTTGCCGATGCAAAAATGATCGTTCCCACATTAATTATATCGCAATATCTATCAAAATGATCGCAATATGATGTTTTTACCATATCATGTAGCTTTGTTTTGTATTTATACATTCACTTGAATATTTCACTTGAGTATTACACTTATGTTGTAACTCGATAAATAACAGAAGGTAAACTAAGGGCTGCACAATATGATAAAAACATCATACAAAAAAGTTCTGGAGAACAAGATTCGTAGGCCAGGACATCTTTGCAGTACTTTATTATAATGCTGGCTGTTACACATTTTACCTTACTGCAGCTTCTGCCTTTTGAAAATTGCCCATATTGCCATTTTGATAATACTTTGATTAATTATGCAGCCTTAAAAATGAGGTAGACCTAAATCACACAACACCATCAACAAACCCACATCGAGTAAATTGTGTTGTGTGTTTTTTTTTCTTTTTCTAAATTTAATAATCATGCACCAGTTTGCAGGATTGGATCCAGATAAATATTCATGGGGTGTCACAAACAATCACATATCATTATTTGTTTGAAAAAGCCCCCAAATGAGGGCTGCAGAAATCAATAAATTTGTTTTTTCCAAATCTTCATGTATTTTTCCAAATACATGCCCTTTGTCATCGAAGTAATAGGCTTATTTACTGAGTCTAAAATGTGGCCATAACAGATCAGTACATTCATTTAGGTTTTTTCCATGGTATTTTTAAATGAATGTGTTAGTTTTGACAGCATTTGACACCCAAATGGTAGATGGGGTGGCAGCAGTCACAGCAGCCAGAGATTTGCCCCTGCCAATGTGACAGATATTTAAATAGAACAAGTGTATTATTCGTCTTTGGCCCACTTCAGCCCATGTGTCTGTCAGACTGTCTCTGCCATCATTCACATGAGGGGATTTGCTACTAGATTGGTATACCTTGCTGCTGCAGAAATATCTGCTCCCTGTGACTCCGCTCAGTGTTTTCCTCATGCTCTTCTGGCTACAGTTTCAGAATGACTTCACTGTAAAATGATGTGATAGCTTTTACATGTAGAGGCTGCCGTCTATCCAGCTGCACTGATGATTCAGGAACCAGACTGAAGTGATATATAGTTCAACACAAGTTCTATAATCACACATTTAAACATTCATATGTTTGTGGTCTTTGTCACATATGTCTGCCGATGGAGTGACTCATGGGATTCAATAGAAAAATTAAAGCTGCAAGCAGCGATGAACGGGCCCTCGCACCATGTACACTGAAGTTGTGAGGACGTGTTCAGGGTGGGACTGTTACAGAATAGGCTATGTGAAGTTTAGAGATTGGACATGATACACTGAAGTTGAGTACTATCTGTTTTATGGCCAATCGGCGGAATTCGACACGTCGTCACGGGCACGCGGTTAAACGTACAGTCACAAATAGCACAACTTTTGATCACCAATGTGTCTAGATTGCAGTGATCGAATTTGAAG